TTTGGTTACTTGCCCTCCAAGAAAGAATACAAAGTCGTCAAATTGTGCTATGACGATCAAGTTTCTCGTAATCTTGAAAAGAGGATAACTGACACAAAGATTCTTACTATTAGCACTCACACGGACAGTCTTTGTAGGGCTTTTTCTTCGTGGAGGATTTTAAAAGAAAAGTGTCCATATGATGTCGCAGTTGCTGCTGCAGAGACGTCTGTTTTTGTCAATGGAGTAATACATTGGAAGATACAACCGTGGAACCCTTGGGATGACGAAACGATTGTCGCATTTGATTTAGATGAAGAGAAGTTTTCGATTCTTCCTCCTCCAACTGGTGCAGCAAAGAATTGTAATACTTTCCATCTTGCGGGGATTAGGGGAAATCTCTGGTTGGCAGAGCACACACATAAGTTTTCCAACATCAATTTGTGGGTTTTTAATAAGGATTTGCAGAACCCTTCCTGGAAAAAGGAATTCATGATTGATTGCACAACAATTAGGGATGGTTATTCTTTAGTTGCTTCTTTTTTGCTGCATCCGTTGGATTTTCAGAATGAAGAGGGAATTTTGTCCAGGCTTGATGGAGTTGGGCTAGTTCTTTACAATGTCAAGACTAAAACTTTCACCCTTCTGAAGGAGGAAAGGGGTCGTTTTATGTTTTGTTATTATATAGATGGTTTCTTGTCATGAGACTTTTGAGTACAGGTCTCAAAGCTTTTCTTTTTCTCAGTTTTTGGTTTTATGGGTTTAGTAAAGTTATTAGTAATGTGTTATCAATATTTTGAAGTTTTAATAATTAAGAATTTAAGGTTTTATGTTAGAGATTTTAACTTTAAATTTTAAAATAGAGAGAAATTAAAAAAAAAATGCTAATTAATTATTTCTTATTCAATATATTACAAAAATATAATAAATTTTATTGTACAATTTAAATTATATTAAATTACTAAATAATAATAATTAAATAATAAAAAAAAAACCCTCAATACCAAGTGTATGGTGTAGACATACTGCTAACTCAATAAAAAACATACATGTTCTTCACTTTTTATCTGCAAAAATTAATCCATTCCACCCAACGTGGCAATGGTGACTCAAAATTTGTGGGGTTAAAGAATCCGTCCTTATTCAAATTTGTTTCAGTAGCAACAAAAGACTAGACTTTAATATCAGGCCCCAATTCACCAAAAGAGAAAAGAAAATGTCATGCCCCACACAAGTGATGAACTTTAGAAAACAGCCAGCATACATGTATGTCTAATCTAATCAATCCTTTGTACTTAAATCGCCCAGCTTTCCCACCTGTAGCTTCAGCTGCCTTGGTTAAGGTGCATAGAACTCTTAGCAAATGCTAAGGTTCAATTTACTGTAATAGCAGCTATTATCCTCCTTCTCCCAAATTCCCCTAGGTTCAAAAAAATCGCCCTGATTTCTTTCTTTCTTTCTTTCAACAAGGATGTCTTACCTTTGAGTTCCAAACTTAATTCCAATGCCCTCTTCGTTTTCAACATCTCTTTTCCCTTCTCAAATATTAAGACTAGGGGGCCTTGAACGAGTTCAAATATATGTCAATCATTCCAAAATATACATACATATATATGTGTGTGTGTGAATCATACAAATATTAAGTGAAATATCTAACTTATTTTAACAACAGGATTATTTAGTCTCCTTTTTAAATTGAGTCAATACTTATGTGAAAATTTGATATATCTAACTTAAAGTTAATTAATAATAAATAGAATGGTTTTTCATATATTTAAATCACATATATTTTTTACTATGCATTGTTATAAGATTTTATCCTTAACAATATATTTCAATATCACAAAAATAAATGTATACTTTTTTTTTTCTTTTATTAGATGGAGAATCTAATGATTTTGATTGAGAAATATAATCTATAATATTTTATAAAATTACAAGGCATAACTTTATTTGTAGCACCTAAACTTGTTGCATTTTTTTTTTCTTTTATATGAACTTTTTAACTACTTTTAAAGTAAGTAAACCCTTTAACTCTTGAAGATGAAAAAAAAAAAAAACATTCAAAATTAATGAAGAATAATTAAAATCTTACAAGTGATTTGTGTGTGAGATTAATATGTGTTTGCTTTTAATATTTATGTAACATTTACTTTTTATATCAATACTTATATCAACGATAAATAGATAGATCAAAATTGATAATTACATCTCTAGTTTTACTTGTTAATCTCATAAGAAGCACTTATGTGAAGAGTGATACCATGAAGTAGATCATGGTGATGATTGTTAACCTCACTTGTGGAGCTCAATTAAATTTGAGCTTTTTTCTCATCTTGAAAAGTTAAGTGGCTTATTTCCTTTAAAACTAGTTTCACGATTTATATACAAAACACCGGATTATTTTAGGGGCTTAAGAAACCAAATATAATAGACTTATTAGTCCAATTTTTGAAATGTTAGGGAAGTAGTTAACATTATGCAAAAATACAGGGTTCTCTTTCTAAGTACGGCCAAAATTTTCAAATATTATCTGGTATTATCCGCCACAGAAAGCTAAGTTGCAACTACATAATCAGACCGTCCACTTACCAAAAGTTGCCACGCGTGCGGTGATCATCACCCCAAGGACGAATCTTTCTAATCTCACGCGCACAACAAAAAAAATTTAAGGTACAAAAAACCTTCCGAGAAAAAAAAGAAAAGAAAAATCCGATTGGCTGAACCGTCTTTATATTTCAAGTTTCGCGGCAACGCCCTTCTTTCCATCTCTCAAAATTCTCTCACTGAAAAATAAAAATTCTCTCTTTCTCTCACTTTTCTCTCTCTTAAATCCTTCTGAACTCTGAGTGAAGTTCATTTCTTTCTGTTTCCAGAGGCTTCATTTTCTCTATTTGGTGGAGACCCAGATTGCATGCGGCAAGAATTGGTTGGGGGTAAGTATGGGGTTGCCGATCTGTGGATTAGGGTTTAAAAAGGAAGATTTTTTTGTTTCTTTTCATTTTTGGAAGAATTTGTTTGAAAATCTGGATGTTTGTTGGTTTTTCTGGGGGTGTTTCGGTTGTTCTATAGTGAGTTTTGGCGTTTTCTCTAAGTGGTCTTTTGGTTTGAAGGGATTTATTTTTTAGGCTTTTTTTTGTTCTTCACTCAATTTGAATTTGGGGTTCAGGAGTGGATGTGATTTGGTGGAGATTTTTCATTTTGATTGTTTTTCTGAGAGTTTTTGTTTTGTTCTCTGTTGTGGGGGATTTAGTGAAGTTTTTGAAGCACTGGTGTCAGTAGAACTGATTGGGTTCTTTCGTTTTAAATTTGAAATTGGGGTTTTAGGGAATATGTAGATTTAAATCTCGTGAATTTGAAGCGAATATGTGATGGATTTCGATCATGGATTTGGCTTTTAAACTTTCTTTCCTGGGTCCAGTGGCTCAGCTTCATAACGGGTAGCTCTTCTCCTTGCCTTAAGCTCCCAATTCCTGGTCTTCTGTAAATTTAACGTCTTCTGTTGGGTCTATTCTAAAGTTGAAATAGAGGAAACTGTTTTTGAAGTGTTTTGCTCTTATAATTCGTTAAGAAATTAACAAATTTATACGTTAAATTCTTTGATTGATTCAAAAAGATATCGTGCAAAAAGCCATTTTTCTATCTAAGATATGCGCTCTAACTGTGTGTGTTTATAACACATTCTTCTGTCTTCTACTTCTGGGTTTATAGATTGTATCTGATTTATCTACTTTTTGAGTTAATATCTCACATGATTTGTTGAGAAATGAATAGAAGATTGTTATCTCTTATGAGTGATAACTTGGTAGAGAAAGCACAATTTGTAATATGTGAAAGATCTCCCTAAAAGCAAATATTCTTGAATATGCAGTTATTATTTACCTTAGTTTGGCCAGTTTGATTTAGCTAACTCACTTAGTGCTAATTACTGCTTTATTTCAGATAGGAGAAAGTTATTTATGGCCCCAGCAAAGAAATCTAAAAGCATCAACAAACGATATTCAAGTCTACAGGAAGTCTCTCCTGATAAAGATGCTGACATTCCAAGTAAACAACGAGTGAGCATTTGTTTCACTCCTAGATTTTATCTGTTTTGAGGCTACAAAACATGATTGACTAAATTGTCTATCTTTTGAAATTTTCTTATTTATAAGACTGAGGAATTTCAGATGTTATAGTTAATTCTTTGATTTTCTTATTGACTTTGCTTGTCTGGTTAAGAGAATGGAGGTACCCCTACAAACTCATTTCTAACACTTTTAAGACATTTAGATTTGTATGGAAATGACCCAAGTCTATGAAAATTAACAAATAAACTTTAAAGAGTTTAAAGTACATGTATTACAGTGTACATGTATTAGAGTGGCACCGGTGTCTCAACACTTGATCTTGAGTCCTTGTAATATACCAATGTTGTGTTTTTTCCTATATAGAAATTTGATCTTCTGTAAGTACTCTTGAGCTTTTCTGTTTTTCCTTTTCTAATCATTTACTATTGTATTTTTCTCCCTGAAGAAGAAATTATCTGACAAGTTAGGGTCTCAATGGAGCAAAGTTGAATTGGAGCATTTTTATGAAGCCTATAGAAAATATGGGAAAGATTGGAAAAAGGTGCAATCATTTTTGCTTGTTAATGATTACTTTGTTGAGTTTCCTACCAGTGCATTATGTAATTCTATAGGTTATCTTCAATGTGATTATCTTCACTCCCAGTTTTCTTCGCTAAGTGGAGGACAATTTGTCGTTTCTCTCAATGTTTTAACTTAATGGTTTCCTGATCCTCAGGTGGCGTCTTTATTGCATAACAGATCGATTGAAATGGTGGAGGCCCTTTACAATATAAACCGGGTAATATAGCTTAATTAATTAAGATAACACTGGTTGTAACTCTGTTAACTTACCTAATCTTCTAAATGATTTTAAATTAACATATGATGTGGTCAAGAATGTTAGGTTGAACATGAATGCTTTATAAGTAATGGATTTACAGATATAGGTGCCTTGTAATTAGGTGCTAATTGTAGTTATTGATTTAAGTTATTTAACTGATAAAGCATGTAGCAGGTTTCTCTACCTGACTCTGGTTGGATTGTAATATTATTGTTTCTGATATGAGTTCAATTTTCAGGCATATTTATCCCTGCCAGAGGGAACAGCTTCTGTGGTTGGCCTTATAGCGATGATGACAGATCACTATAATGTCCTGGTGAGATTGAAATTCAGAAATTTAAATTATATATAATTGTTTTCAGTTTGCTGATGCTTCTTTCTATTGATTTTCCCCTCAATTTTTAATTTAATTTTTAAAATAGTGTAACTTATGAAGCTATAACATCCAGCTCATTCATGCAATGAGTATTCAATATGGCTTTTAGATCTTTGGGTTTGTTTATTGATCAGAATTAGATTTCCGCCTGTTGCAGGGCATGTACCTCCTTGTCTATAATGTGTTAATGCATATTGGTATTTATTTTCCCTTTTTCCTTCTTTTGCTAAATGATGATTGTAGAAATTTGTTTCTTCTATCCACTAACCAAAACTTTGTCATCATCTCGCCTATAAATGGATAGAAGGGAAGTGATAGTGAAAGAGAGAGCAATGGTGCTTCTGAAATACCTCGGAGTGCTCAAAGCCGCAAGCGGCCAAGGGTTGAGCTTAGTTCCCCTAAAGAAGATAGCTGTCACCCTACGTCAATAGCATCAAGTGAGAGATATCTATCATTATTAAAAATGGCAGGCCTTAATGGTAAGATACATTGCAATCGGTAGCACCCCACTTCTTCTTATTCATTTTTTTTTTCCACTTTGATTACTTTCCTTTATTGTGCTGACTATTTGTCTAATTCTTTTCTCCTTAGTTATATATTACCTTTTCTAGTAATAAATATGATTTGTGGTAAGGAGTTAGAGTAGTAGGCAGATGAAAAGGCAGAGATACTGGTGCATACAAGATGACAATAATCATTGCTCAATGTGTCTAAATAAAAATAAAAATAAAAATAAATAAATAAAATGGAGAATTAGAAGAAATGGTAGTTGTGTAAAGATGATGCTCCAACAGATCTAGAGTATTTTGGAGAATCTCCAAGCCAGGGGATAATCCAATAATTAACCCTTTTATCTTTCTAGATTTAATGGATTCACCATGGCGACTCTCTGATCTAGATTTAATGCATTAGCATTGTTAGTTTAAAGAAATTGTGAAGATATTTTGTTTGGTTCCTGCTAGTTCTTGAGTATGAACAACAACTGTGAGTTAAGTATTCAGTCCTGATTCTGGAACTTGGGTCTCTCTTTGTTTCTTGATTAATTTTTTTAAAAGCTAATAATTGTGTAATATCAAGGATCAAACATGTAAACTACTGACGCAGCTTGAGAGTGTACTGTAATCTTTACAAAAACTGTGATTAATATCTTCATTTGATTCCAAATTGATTCTAGGTACTCATCCTCGTGCACTGAGGAAAAGGACTCCTCGGGTCCCTGTTTCAAATTCCCACAAGAGAGATGCTATTCAGAATTACACTCCACTGAGCAAAAGGGGCCAAAAGTCAGAGGTTGATGCTAATGATGATGTAGTTGCTGCATTGGCATTAACAGAGGCTTTGCAAAGGGGAGGCTCTCCTGTCATTCCTCAGATGCTAAGAACTAACCAAATTAAACCCTCACCTGTTCGAAGCTGGGATGGGATGGTACTTACCTCTCCTTGACATTGTCAGAATTATTTTGAAGTCTTGTTTCTTTATCTGTTCAATAAAACAATATTGCTTGTGTTCCTTGTATTCCATTAGTTTCCACAATCAGAGACATGCAAAGCCAAGCATGGTGATGCTTTCTCTGAAGACTGGAAGGAAGGTAGCATAGGTGGTAAGGAACATGGTGATGTGATTTGTGGCAGAGATAAATCCTCATTGCTAGATATGGAAGGTGTAGGTACTGTAGAAGTTCATAGAAAGGCAAAAAAGTTTTACAGGAAGAAGATGAAAGTTGAAGAGATGAGGAACAATTTATCTGATGATGGTGGAGAAGCATGTAGTGGCACTGAAGAAGGGCCTAAAGGCAGTGCTCGAAAAGGTGAAGTTGATATCGAGGTCTCCAGTACAAAAGTTGAGCAATTTTTGCCACGTAGTCGGAGGAAGAGAAGCAAGAAACTTTTCTTTGGAGGTACAAACCTAAGAGTTGGATATTTCTCATTTCAAATGTTTCTACCCAAACTGTTTATTTAAAAGGATTTTGACATTGCATGCACTGGCACAGCTAAACTGTTAATGTAGTAATTCCAAATTTCAAACTCTGTCCACTTTTAGTACTAAATACAAGCTAGTATTTTATTCCTTTTTACTTGTGCTTCTTCATGCAGATGAAACCCCCGCCTTAGATGCACTGAATACTTTAGCAAATTTGTCAACCTTAATGTTGCCAACTTCTACAATGGAATCGGGTAGCTGTTCAGTGCCTTTAGTTCCACTTCTGCTTGAATGAATACATCATTGGATTCCTTTTTTGCTTGAATTTATACATCATTGCAATTCCTGTTTTACTTGTTTATGCTCTCTCTGCTTTCTCCATGTGGGATCAACTTGATAACATTTTGTTGCTCATTTGATCACTATTTTCTTGTTGGCCCTAGAATCATCTGCTCAATGTAAGGAGGAAGGAACTGCACTTGAAACAGATGAGAAATCAAGTGCACCCAAAGCTGGCTCTATGGGCCAGCATAGACATAAAAGTAATTCCCTAGGGTTGAGAGAAAAATCAGTTAAAGTGATAAACAAAGTTGAAGATGCTTCCTACAGAAAGTCAAAACTCAGGAGGTCCTCAACAACCAATAAAAAAGCTCTCTCTAAAATAACACAGCAACCTGAACCTACCAATAGTACATGGAAGAGAAAAAGAAAATCATCCATATCAAAGGTAATGTTAGATGTTCTTTACTTCACATTTTCTGACCTAGAGTTCAATATAAAAGCATTTTTTTATGCTGCAGGTACCGAATGCAGACGCTTCAGTGGACTCTCACTCTAGTAAATCTATGGAGAGTAAGGTATGAAACATAAGTTAACATTGGACCTATGACCTGTAGGAAACTTATTGTTTCAAGAAATTAACATGTCTGACACTTGTGGACATGGCGCTTGGATTCAACTGTGTTAAGGGAATTATGTTGTTGGTTATTATTGAATCCAATTTGATTTACTAGAAGAACTTGTATGAGTAATGGGTTTCAAACTCAAAGAAGTGTGTTTATTATGTAACCTTTTAATGTTATGGTTTTGCCATAAACAAAGGGAACAATTGATTTTATTAAAATTTCTATGCCCAGTGGTATAAATTTAAGGACAAGTGTATATGTCGTTATTATATGTTGGAATTTCATTGATTATTGGTTGATGCAGATGGTTTGCCTTTTAAACATATAGCTCATATCTATTTTCCTTTTGCTTACTATTTTTGTGCATGTACAGGACAAAACTGTAGAGGAGAATAAATATATATCTAAAGGTAAAACCAATTTTCGAGTTCCTGCTCAATCAAAACAATGGAAATCAGTCAGATTGTCAGAAGCTTCCCCTACTAATGGCATTGGGAAGAAGTCTGGAATTAATTTAGCATTATCAACTGCAGAAGTTCCTCTAAGGTTACCAACAAAGCATCAGAATAGACGTAAGATGAACTTAAAGAGTGTTTTGGTCTCAAAGGAGGTCAGGTCTTCTGAGAACATATTGAAAAATCAACCAAAGAAACAGTCTCTCTTGCAACAAGAAAAATCACCTTCTCTAGTGGTAAAATCAGCGTGATTTTTTTTTTTTTCTTCTTATTTCAATATATAGCATATATATGTATATATATGTATAAAGCTTAGAGCATTTATTCATGTACATGTTATTGGATTTCAGAGAAGGCTTTCTCCTTGCCTGTCATCCAAGATAGCTAGGAGATGGTGTAGTTTTGAGTGGTTTTATAGTGCAATTGACTATCCTTGGTTTGCGAAGAGGGAATTTGTTGAGTACTTAAATCATGTGGGACTGGGGCACATTCCAAGGCTTACTCGTGTTGAATGGGGTGTCATAAGAAGGTAAGCTTTTCAAAAACCTTTGATTGAAAATTTTGGCAAAACTAAGAATTTATATCATATTTTTTATCAATGCAGTTCCCTTGGCAAACCCCGGAGGTTTTCTGAACGCTTTTTATATGAGGAAAGGGAGAAACTTAAACAGTACAGAGAATCTGTCAGAAAGCATTATGCAGAGCTACGCACTGGTGTCAGGGACGGACTTCCAACGGACCTGGCACGCCCTTTATCAGTCGGACAAAGGGTGATTGCAATTCATCCCAAAACAAGGGAAGTTCATGATGGGCAAGTGCTTACAGTTGATCATGATAGATGCCGGATTCAGTTTGACGACCCTGAAATAGGAGTTAAATTTGTCTTGGTACCAGCACTTCTACATATTATTTTATGTCAGCTGTTGCATCTTATGTATTTTTTGAACTTAAAGTCTTAAAAAGCATATTTCATTGCAGGATGTTGACTGTATGCCATTAAATCCATTGGATAACATGCCAGAAGCTCTTAGGAGACAGAACTTTGCTATCGATAAGTACTCTTTGATCTCTAATGAGTACCAAATTAATGGACATTCAAGACTTCTTGGGTCCATCTTTTCTGCTTCAAATGCGCATCTGGAGAATGCTACCAGCCCCTTTAATTTTAGAGTAAAGCAAGCTAAGGTTAGAATGCCTATCAATATTGCAAGGCTGATTTCTTTTTTGTTAATCCTAAAGTTGTTTTATCTTTGACCTTATTCTATTTTCTTTACATTAAAATAATAAAAAAAAATGTTAACTTAATAAGTTTTATTTTATATATATGGGATTCCAAAATTTTCAATCCAATGGTTGATTTTAGACAATATTAATTAGAAAATGAGTTTTTAGACAAGTCCTTCCTAGAAAAAAATTTAGGAAGACAACTTGTAAAACACTTTTCCCTGTGTATATGTGTGTGTGTGTGTGTGTGTGTGTGTGTGTGTGTATTTCAGTACAGTTAATATTTTTGAAAAACTTCTTTTCATTAGAATTTAACATTAATTGAATATGTTCGACTATTCCATTGATGTCACTAAACTTTATATTGCTAAATGTAAGAGAATACAGTTTCTTCAATCTTGAAATTTTGCATGGATGAGCTGCATGAATAGATTGAATGTTGGTTTTTCAAAATATGAACTGTATTTAAAAATTGCTTTTGGATATTGATGGGTATGTAGAAACAGTTTTCTTCAAATCAAGCCATAATTTGTTTAATAATCAAAGTTCTATTACCCCTGTTTGTTACTTTTTGCCTTATTGCACCAGTTCATTGGGGAGATATTCATCATTAATAAAGTTACAACTTTTAAGAAGTTTTCCTCTTGGTCCTTCTATGCAATCATTTGGTATTAGGTTTATGAGGAAAAGAAAATGCATGAACACTAGTGTCAGCTAACTATTGGAACAAATTCTTAGAGTATTCTACTTCTTGTTCTTCTCTATTTTCCTTTATCTATTTATTTTTTCTTTCTCCTCCCCTTGGTGGAATAGTCTTTAGAGGTTTTTTCTTTTTTGACTCAGCCTTTAGAGATAATCAATAAGTTTTATAACTTGGTAGTGGGGTACATGAGTGTTGATCCTTAACTGATCTTACATGCTTGGGATTTGCCTAGCTGGATATGAAACGTAATATTTTTCAAGCAAAGCCGGCCGCATCTGAAATGGCAAATCAAGAATCCTACAGCCAACCTCTTACCATGGCACATATCCAAGGAAGGGATGCTGATATAAAAGCTATGTCAGAGCTTAACTGTGCCCTTTATAAAAAGGTATGCAACATTGGATGTATTTAAGCTATTTTTATTTATTTCATCTTAATATAAATGTTTGGTAAAAGCTGCCTAATTAGACCATGCATTGAATATTATCATGTTACTTGACTATCTTCAAAAGTAATCTATTTGTTAGATGGTTTCCCGATTATCCTTTTTATAAATTTTGGTGATTTTGCATGATTAACTGAATTTTCTGAGGTTGTTGTCATTTCTTAAATTGGGGTTGGCCATTGTATATGTTAGTATTCTGCATCATAGAGCATGATACATTTATTGAATCATTTTCCTTTGATCTTGGGTAATTTGAATATGTGATCACTTCACTTGCAGAATTGTATGAATACTTTGTGCTGATACTGCTGTTTTCTTTTCTCTAATTAAAATACCTCCAGGAAGCGTTATTGATGGAGCTCAGAAATACAAACAACGACATAAGGGAAAACCATAATGATCTACAAAGCGCTTGGAAAGACTCTGAACATTTCAAGAAGCATGTTGCCATGGTACTTGTACAGCTAAAGGAAGCCAATGACCAGGCATGTGGCTTCCATGAGATAGTTGCAAGTTTGCATCTTTGTCGACATTTTAAATTTAGTGCTTTAACAACTTATGATTTATTGTTGTCTCATCCAGGCTTCCTCTGCTTTACTTCATCTAAGGCAACGAAACACTTACCCAGCAAACTCACTGCCTCCATGGCTTAAACGTCCGGATGGTTGCAGTTTCTCAAATGGGTTGATAAGACCTGTTGATTCTCTTGTCCCACAAGAGTTAGGATCTGGTGTTATTGAAATTGTCAAAGGCTCAAGACTAAAAGCAGAATCAATGGTGGATGCAGCTATCAAGGTATCAAGACTCCTTATTCTGGTTTCTGTTTGCCTAAAATACCAAGCACATGATTTAGTGAAACTAATGATGTAAACATTCATTTCAGGCAATGTCCTCTGTGAAGGAGGGGGAAGATCCATATGTGAGGATTGGAGAAGCCTTGGACTGTGTGGATAAACAGCAATTGACGTCAGACACTAGGGTGCCAGTTGTTGAGTCTCCAGAACGGGTTAACAGCATTCAACATCAACAAAATCACAGTTCATTGATTTCCCACATGTCAGAGTCAACACTTGCTGGTGCATCTGATCCCAAATTGCAGGAGGATTCAGACAAAAGTGAGGCGCAAATTCCTTCAGAGCTCATCACATCATGTGTTGCTACTTTGCTTATGATACAGGTAAGTTTGAGCTTCATTCCATATGTGAATTCTTTCTGTTTTCTAAGATTTGAAGAGCAAAGACGGTTTACCCAATGAAATGATTCATCTTCTACTGTTTTTCATGTATTGTTTGACTCTTGATGCAAATGCAACTACCTTCCAACTAGATGCAGTTGGCTATATGTATCTGTTTTAGTCGTTGTGTTTATCCAGCTCTCTCTGCCTTGATAACAAGTTAACGTTGGTTATTTTCCTCCTCCTCATGTCATATTTGCTTACTGCTATTTTCTCATAACATGCAGACATGTACAGAACGACAATACCCTCCAACAGATGTGGCTCAAATAATCGATTCTGCTGTTACAAGCTTGCACCCATGCTGTCCTCAGAACCTGCCTGTCTACAGAGAGATACAAATGTGCATGGGCAGAATAAAGACTCAGCTATTAGCTCTAATACCAACTTGAATCTGTTGCCTCTCGGTTCTTCCCCCTCTCACCGGCTGCATGTACATATGATACCAGAATCTTGGTTCCACGGCGTCACTGCTAACTCCGACTACCCCCTCACTACAGCTTGTCCTTGGGCCACCAGTAAATGAATAGATAGCTCATTTTTATAGAGGTTTTGTTGAGTCACTTGTACTTAAATCTTCTCCCTTTAACTACACTTGGTAATAATTTCTCTTTACTGTCCATTAATAAATAAGAATGACTTCAAGATGTCATTCAAATTTTTTACGAACGTTTTTTTCCTCAACTCAAACGCACTAGCTGACAATTATTTCTCAAGAGAGTCCATAAGTTGGCTTTGAAGGAATGTTAAAGTGTCTGAATATTAATGTTATGGTCCTTCAATTTAATTTACTTGTTTTATTTTTATTTTTATAAGAAATTTTACTATATAATTTTATATAATAAATAAATAACAATTAATTTTTTTTATCTAAATAAAAATACTTAAAAGAATTATTTATAGAAAAAAATTTTAATTATGTGAAAATTAAAGTAGAACAATTAAATTTGAAGGGATAAAATCAGTGATTTGTTGTTTTGAGTAGAAAGAGTTTCATTCTCCTTAAGTAAGATTTTAAGTTTGAATCTTTTGAATTGAGAAATAAACACAGAGAGTGTTTCTCCTAATGGGATCTGATATTGGTCGATTTCAGATTAGTTAAGATCTAATGTAGTTATCAGATACCGAGAGATTAATACGAAAAAAATTCGAAGGGGTAAAGTAAAAAATAAAATAACATCATAAGGCATGATCATTTTTGCCAATTCTTTTCCTCGAAGATATAAATTAATTACAATTAGAGCCCTGAAAATTAATTTCATTTTATTTTATTAAGGTATCTAAGTGATCCATAGTTATATATAGAATAGAGAAACAAATGCAAGTGTAATAAGGGTTGGTGATGGAATAACAAAACACATGAACATCTACTCTTTATTTGCCCCTGCAGTCATTGAAGCCCTTGTTAATGGCACAGCATTTCCATTGACAGCTTTAGTCACTTCATCCCCTGAAGCACTTGTAAATATAAAAAGCAAAACAAACAAGCAAGCAAGCGTCATTTAAAACCAACTTGGAAAATTTTCACCATTAAAGAGAAAAAAGACAAAAGCAAAATTTCTAGTTTTGAAATGGATGGTCTGGACTTACTTTGACAACAACATTGCACCGGTTATAAACAAAAATAAAAGAACCCCACTAGCAAAGATATTTGCATATTTTACAACAGCTGCAAAACGTAAACACATATAAATAAAAATGTTTAGATTATTAATAACTGAATTAGACAAAATAATTCATCGCTAATTTTAAACTAAATCAAAATACTCAAAGAAGGTGATACTAAGCGAGAAACATTCATCTGCTAGAGAATTACCGCAAACAATGGTGAAAATAAGCAAGAAACTGGCAATAGATACGATGTCATTCTCCATGTACAGCTCAAGTGTATTGCTTGAAAAATCGGCTCCAATTATATTTATAGACAAAGATTTGAGAGAAGAATTAATTAATCGACGCATGCATTGACAATAACCAATCAAGTTTATTGCCAGGATCTCGGCCGACGGAATCAAGTTAATTGCCAGGATCTCAGCCAATGGAACCGATTGTTT